GTGCGCGAGTTTGGAGGCCCTGCGTAGGTGCCGGTGAAAGTGATTGACTCGTAAAGGCACTCGTGTAAATTTCCTAGGAGCACCTTTTTAAAAGGGTGGTATCTTTCTAAACTGCATTGTAAAACCTTTCAAATTCAAAGGGATCAACAGAAGTTTAAAAATATTCTGATTTTTGTAAGTGATTTTTAAAAAATCAAGTTTGTGTCGTGATGGAGTTGTGACTTCTGGTTTTTGCATGTTCTGTAATACTAAAGGAACTAAGGATAACTGGTTTGCAGTGCATTGGGACCCACTTAAAGGGCAGTTGTTTAATCCAAGAGGTGATTTAAGATGGGAGGATGGCTCCAGGTTTGCCTCCCAGTTCTGTCACTGGCCAGCTGGGCAATGCTGGGCAGGACACTACTTCTTTGCCTTCTTTTCGGTAGCAGTTTATTCAACACTGGACTATGTACCAAGTTGCTACATGGTCTGTGAATTGTCACAATAATTGTGAGAAGCGGGTGCTGTTTCTCTCCATGTTTTCCACTAGGATGCTAAGGTGCAAAGAGGCTAAGTAACTTGCCTCGGGAGACTTTATAGCTGAGCAGCTGGCATCCAATTCCAGGCTGTCTGACCTCAAAGCCCATGATAAGAACCACTGCAGATACTGACCCTTCCCATGGTGTGAGATGGACTGTGTTGCGTGGCTCATTTTTGCTTTTTAAGATGACTTATGATGGTATATAGGGATGGTGAGTTTTGAATTATAATAATTCATTATTGGTTGTCTTTGTAATTTACTTAAAAATAGGGTTTTGATTTAAAAAAAAAAAGAGAGATTTGGCCCTTGAAACTGGGCACAGTGGTACAGTACATACCTGTAATTCCAGCAATTCTGGAGGCTAAGGCAGGGGAATAAGGAGTTCACAACCAGCCTCGGCAACTTGGTGAGTACCTAAGCAACTTAGTGAGACCCTGTCTCTAAATAAAATATTTTAAAAATGGGCTGTGGATATGGTCCAGTGGTCAAGCACCTCTGGGTTCAATTCCTGATACTGCCCCCCCAAAAAAAATTTAGTCCTTGAGTAAGACTTGTTCTTAGAAGAAAGGTGATACATATTTAAATGGTTTGCTTTATGATAAAGTTCAAGAACAAGTGTGAAAAGTGGGATCACTTATTTTTGTTCTACAAGCATGGTATATAAGAAACTTCTCAAAGCACACTTTGCTTGCCTGACCATATTTTAGTTTTAAACACATCTGTGATGTAGGTTGGACAGACATTGAGAACAGTTGTGATAGTTGCTTTAAAGTCCTTGTCTGGATATTACATCTAGGGTAAACTGAGATTGGTCTTTTTGGGTTGTCATTTTTTTTTTAAATGGGCCATATGTTTTTAGGATATTGGGAATAATTTTGGGTTGCATCTTGGACATCATGACTTATGGAAATTCTGGATTCTGTTATTTTCCTGAGTGTTGATTTTTATTTTGACAGTTGGACTTGAGCTGCAGCCTCTGTCTCCTGGATGGCAATAGAACTCTATTCCTTTAGCCTTAGTTGTGCTGCTTCAACAGTATTTCATGTATGTGTGGTTCAGGGATCAGCCAGAGATTTTACCAGAGTTTATACATAGATGTCAAGCCTCTTTGGATCTCTGCTTTCTGGGAATTCCCCTTCATGTTCCAGTAACTGAAATAACCCTATGTTTGTCTTGTTTCTTCAAGCCAGTAAGACTGTGGGTTTCTGTCTGAATTTTTGCTTTGCCCCTGTGGTACAGACTTGGACCTGATCTTAGGCTAACAGCCATCAATAACAAAAACTGTCCAGTGAAGTACCCAGCTTCCCCCCCCCCCCACTGTCTGCTTGCCTTGTGCCCTCAGAAAGTCGTTTTGGTTTCTTTGTCGAGTTCATAATTGTTATCTGCAGGAGAGCTAATCTGATAGGAGCTTCCTCAGCCATAGCAGAAGAGGAGCTGGGAGTGCAAATATAACCGTCCCTGTTTTCAAGTGAATGAAGGTCCTGCGCAGTTGCATCTCTGAGCTTGTTAGTGATGACAGAACACAGGTTTCCTGTCTGGCCTGGTCCTCTTTCTCTGTTGCTGCCTGTCTCTCTGCACTCATGTCATGAGTTTGCTTAGCAGTTGTCCAAGGGCAATTTCTTTTCCACTTTACAGGTGCTGAGACTATACCCAAGGCCTCCCTTGCCAATTCTGATGAACTTGAAGAACCCCTCGTTGGTGAGGGTGGGGCTGTGGTGTGTGGTTCAGAGGGCAGGTCTTACACAGCCTTAGCCAGGTTAACCCGTCACTTCTCCTAACCCTGCGATCTTGACCAAGAAATTTCACCTCTCTGAGTCTTCAAGCCTGTGGTCATTATCAGGGTGAAATCGGGTAACTTACCTGGAATATCTGGGGCAGAGTGAACCTTCAGGAAATGGCTGTGTCAACAAAAAGTGTCCTTGGGATGTGTTTTCTGAGATTATTTGCCTCATCTTCCCATGGGGGCCAGGCTCTGTGTCCAGTCAGTGTTGTTGTGTGAGGAGGAAAAAGGCAGCTTCATGGTTAAGGTGAGTGAGCATCCATGGAGCTCGGGGGTTAATCTCCTGGGAGTCCTGGAGGGGCCTTGGGCTTGGGGGTGTGCCCCAAGCTCCTGGTCTCCTGTCTTGCTCCCCTTCCCTCTGTGGAGCCCCTCCTCCTCCCCTTGGTGTGGCATCTTGGAGTCCTGCTTCACACCTGCAGTTCCTCCTGTACCTTTCGCTCCTGGCTTTGGTTGAAGTCAACACCTGCGTTTGTGGTGCCTCTTGGTGTGGCTTGCTTTCTCATTCCTAGGGCCAGTGCCCCAGATTTGTCCTGTATAAGTGTGACAGCCTCACAACTGGCTGCTGATGGAAACTCATGCTTTTATGGAGTGCTCAATAACAATGATACCCCTGGAAAGTACTTGGTAAGAACAATAATGGCAACAAGAGTCACTTTACATGGCACTTCCTATATGCCAGGCATTGTTCAAAACCCTTCATATCTCAACTCATTCAATTTCCATAGCACGTGATGATGTATGTACTGCGATTATGCCCATCTTTACAGATGAGGAAACCGAGGAGGAGCAGTACAGCTAGGATTCGAGCTGTGGTGTCCAGCTCTAGGAGCTGTGTGCTCCACTGCAGGCACACACAGCTGGGTCTGTTTACGCATAGCTGGGTACCTGTGCGGTAGGGACATGGTTATTCTGGTACTTGGCCCGAGGTGGCCAGGGAACTCAAGGATTGTTAGTGGCCTGTTGCCAAAGGAAACTCCACCTTAGTGGCCTTGTGCCGGATGTGGCTCAGGCAGGCTGAGTGAGTGGGGAGCAGACTGGCCTTCTGCCAGCACAGAAATGGCTGTATGTGTGCCCTTCAGGTCAGCCACAGGAAGGGGAAGCGTGTGTACCCTTTTCTGATTTTTGTCTAATTATGTGGCTTTTTTTTTTTGGTCTCCATTATTAGAGATTTTATTTTGCCCCATTGTACTGAGGCAGCAGGGTCTCGGATAACTCATCTTTTACGATGGGTGATAGTTGACTCCGTTTGAAATGGCCTCAACTAGTCACGGCTTCCTTACCATTTATAGTCTAAGATCTCATTTGAGATTGATCCCTTTTCTGAGTAAAGCTTTTTATTTTCTATTTTTTTTTTTTGTACCAGGGATTGAACCCAGAGGTGCTTAACTACTGAGCCACATTCACAGCCCTTTTTAATATTTTATTTAGAGACAGGGTCTCACTAAGTTGCTTAGGGCCTTACTAAATTGCCAAAACTGGCTTTGAACTTGTTATCCTCCTGCGTCAGCCTCCCAAACTGCTGGGATTACAAGTGTGGGCCACTGTGCCTGGCTTGAATAAAGTTTTTTTTTTTTTTTTTTTTTTAATTTTTACCCGAAATGCTGGGTTGTTGGTAGATGCTTTCCCTTCCCCCTACCCTACTGCTCTTGTTCGGCTGAGTTACACATGAAGCATCTCATTGAAAGACGGTAAAGATGGGAAGAAACGTCTTCAAGTCTTCCTGTGGCTTGGAAAAGAAAACCCCATCAAAAGGAGCAGCCCAGCCCACTTGCTGTGTCAGTGCCATTAGGATCCGATGACTGATCTCAGGGTGGGGACACATCTTGCAGTCCTGGGGTGCCGGCAGACAGCCTCGAAAGGAGCCCTGCGTCTCTGAAGAAACTGCAGACGGAATTTAGTACATCAAAAATTAATGATGGTGAGGATTTGGAAAATCCTAAAGATAAGTTTCCAAATGAAAAAGATAAAAAGCCTGCTGTCTGAAAGGGAATGAGGTATGAGCCACATAAATTAAGCCGACAGAATTTCTAGAAAGTGAAAAGTGTGCTGAGGCATTGCCAACTGTGGAATATAAATACGTCTCACCCTGTTACCGTCTTGGGGTCTGCAGTCTCTGTATTGATGTTTGTGTTTGGAGTCAGCACTTCCCGAAGGCTCCAGTCTTTGAGTCTAGCAGACTTGATTTATGAAGAGAAGAGGACAATAATGAATGGGAAAGGTTTGCTGAGGAATTAATTTGGGGTTCCTCATCGGAGACGGCCTGCTTCTCCCAGGCTCTTTCCCCCAAAGTGGCAGCTCTCTTTGGGTGTTACTGAAATGCCATATGGTGGGGGTGAGGGACAGTCTTTTACAGCTTCCTCCCCTGTGGAGTCCACTCCCTCCTCTGTCTGCATACCTGTTGCCTGTGGACGGTTTCCTTCCATTTCTTCTTCCCTTCCTTTTGTCCTTTCCCTGAACTCTGTATCCATTCGCTTTTACCTGCCTGAAACTTTTGGAGTTTGGCCACTGCTGTTCTTTTTTTTTTTTTTCTTTTAACCCTGGGAGTGCTTTATTGAAGAGCCACATCCCCAACCCTCTTTATTTTGTGTTTTGAGATGGGGCCTCACTAAGTTGCTGAGGCTGGCCTCAAACTTGCCATCCTATTGCCTTTGCCTCTTGAGCCCCTGAGATTATAGGCGTGCAGTATCGTACTTGGCTCACCATTGTCTTTTACCATCTGCAGCTCCCCTTCCTTGTTCCCTCATTGCTTCTAATCTGTGAGCACTTTCTTTGTACCCCTTTAACTCTGGGCCTCCACTGAGGCTTGGCCTTGTTGCCTTCTCTCATACATGGCTTCTTGGGTAGGAGCACAACTTCACCTGTTGAGTAGAAGGAAGGGGTCAGGTAGAGGAGGTTAAGAACAGTGGCCATGAGGTCTGAAGTTATGGGGTCATGTGGTATGGAGTGTGGCTTTTTCTGAATTATGTGGTACGCCATGGAAGCTGTTTGAGCAGCGGGGTGACACTGTTCCTGGACATCTGACTTTGCAAGCTACATGGCCGCGGTATAGGTGAGGTCTTGCTGATCTTTGGCTGTTTGTTCATCCAAATTGAAAGCTCAAGGTGTGCTAATTTATTTTGGACCTTCTGCCACTCCCAATGCATCCCATGAACTAGAATCCCTTCTCGAGCATCTTTCTGTTCACCCCTAGGTTTCGCTTCTCCCTCCCATGGGCTCCCTGTGCAGGCCCTCAGCCTGCAGAGTTGCCCATGGGGGTGACTTTCTGCTACTTGAAGCCCTTGCTTCTTGTCTTATGCACCTGGAAAACAGTGTTCAACTGAACACTGCTCATAACACATTCTGCTCCACACCAGCAAGGGAAGAATTGACCTCTGGGCGTGCTGCTTTGCCCTCCCACCTGCCGCCTGGCCTTGGTGTGCGTTTTCTTGGTTAACCAGCGTCTTCAGTCAGGGTGGCCTCCCCTTGTGTTCTCACTCTCTGTAGCATGACCACTGTGTCTTGACTTAAATTGGGCACCTGGCTAGAAGGGACTTGAGATGGTTTGTTTCCTTGTCTTTTGTTATGTCAAACTATCCTGAAATGGGTGACTTAAAACTGCCTTACTCACTGGGCATGGTGGTGCATGCCTATAATCCCAGCAGCTCAGGAGGCTGAGGCAGGAGGATCATGAGTTCAAAGCCATCCTCGGCAACATGAGGTGCTAAGCAACTTGGTGAGACCCCGTCTCTAAATAAAATACTAAATAGGGCTGTGGCCGAGTGCCCCTGAGTTCAATCCCTGGTTAACCCCCCCCCCCCAAAAAAAACCCCAAAAAACCCAAAAAACAAACAAAACCCAAACTGCCTTACTTGCTATTGCCATGCCTCTGTGGATCTGTGGATTGATGGGACTTGGCAGGGCTGTTCTGTGTGGGGCTGGCCGGGCCTATCTGTGGGACTGTGTCAGCTGGGAGCTTAGATGGAGGGCCTATGATGGGCACATGTGTTGGTGTGACTGCTGACTGGCCATCTTGACATGCCACCAGTCAGCCTGCCTGTCTCTTTGTGTGTCCATCTTTGTGTGTGTTCATCTCCATCAGTACATCCTTACCTTGTGAAGTGGGCCATCTTGTTCAACAGGCATGATTCTGAAATTCTCCAGTAACAGGTTGAAAGAAACTCCTGTTTAAAAAGGGAGTTGGTTTCTGAGGGTGGCTAGGTTTTTTTTGTTTTTGTTTTTGTTTTTTTTAATCGGGAATGGCCTGAGCTAGGCCCATAAAGAAAGGGATAGGGCCGGCTGTTTCCTTGACACTGCCTTTGTAGTGTTTATTAGAGAGTGGAAGGAATCCTCTGCATTCTTTTATGAGCCTCATAAACCACTGGTTGAAGAATTTGGAATAGATGACATCAGACATCTCTGACTTTTTAATTTGATAATTTTTATTTTTTAAAACAATCACAGGAAAATGACTGCAGAGATTTATCTTTAAAAGTAGAGCAGAATACTAGAACTTTTAATGTTAAACCTTCAAGTAGGAATGTAATCCTCAAGTATAACACTATTCCTTTGTGAGTTGGGATCATGGATGATGTGGTTTTTAAAAAATTTTTTTTTTAGTTATATGACAATAGACTATATCTTGACATATTATACATACATACATGGAGTATAACTTTCCATTCTTGTAGTTGAAGATGATGTGGAGTTATACCGATCCTGTATTTATATGTGAACATAAGAAAGTTGTGTCTCATTCATTCCACTGACTTTCCTGTTTCCATTTCCCTCATTTCCCTTCATTCCCCTTTGTCTAATCCAATGAATTTCCATTCTTCCTCTTCCCACCGAATTGTAAGCATCCCCATATCAGAAAGAACATTCAGCCTTTGGTTCTTTGGGCTTGGCTTATTTCACTTAGCATAATAGTTTCCAGTTCCATCCATTTACTAGCAAATGCCATAATCTCATTCTTTATGACTAAGATTCCATTGTGTGTATATACTATATTTTCTTTATCCATTCATCTATTGAAGGGTACCTAGATTGACTCTCTAGCTTAGCTATTGTCATTTGAGCTGCTATAAACATTGATGTGGTCATATCACTGTAGTATGCTGATTTTAAGTCCTTTGGGTATATACTGAGGAATGAGATAACTGGGTCAAATGGTGGTTCCAAAGTTTTCTGAGGAATCTCAATACTGCTTTCCAGAGTGGTTGTGCCAACTTGCAGTCCCACTGGACAATGTATTTTGACAGTGTTTTCCATTGTAAGATATGACCGTCTAGGACAAAGTGTCTGAAAAATTAGTGTATGAGGATTGGGTAACACTGTGTGTGCTGTGGACTCTAAAACTAGGCACTGGGGACCCATTGAAGAATTCAAAGCACAGGGGTGGCACAGAGTGGGAATTTAGTTCATTCATGTTCATGTGAGCCAAGTTTGGTTTTTGCCTTTAAGTCTTCAGAGAAATTTAGGTACTGGGAGAAACAACTATGGAATCCTGTCAGGGAGCCCTTGATAGACCTTCCTTCCTTCCCTACCAAGGAGTTTCCTTGTTAAGGGCATGATTCCTCTACTTTATAAGTTAGTCTTTCTTTTGTCTGGCTTTGCCCTCTCAAGCCATCCTTCCCTGGGAGGATGGGGCTCTATCGTTGTCAGGATGTAGACATGTCCTGCTCAGCCTTCTGCCTAAGATATAGTAAAAAGAAAGACTGGCTGCTCCCAACAGAGGGGTATGAGAGAGTGGGGAAAAAGAGAGAGAATTTTGGTGGTGGTATGATTCTGAAAATTTTAGCATCCATAATTGACATTGGGTGCTAAATTGTACCACTCATCAGATTGTACAATTTTATTAAAAAGAAGCAAATTGCCATGTGCTTGTATTAAACCAAATAAGGGAGGTGGGGGAAGGAAAATGAAGCAACTGGCCTTTCTTTTAAGTCATTGTTAAGTTTGGAACTGTATCAGGTTTTTTTCAAATTGTTTTGTTCAATCAGGCGTAGCACGGGTGTCCCTCGGAGCTGCCACCCTCTGTTGAATTTTTTTTCCCCCCAGCTCAGAGAATCGCCTTGATGAAAGCTTTTAGCAATCAAACGGATAAAAATTGAACACATCCTTCAGGATTCTTCTCATTGTTCTTCCTTCCATGTTCATTTTCTGAATATCAACAATAACAAAAAATGCTGTGAAATATTAAGACTTTCTGGCCCCGAAGTGGCATCCTTGAATAGTTGCTTCTGTTATTTGTGTTAGCAGATTTCCAAGGTGACTGTTGAAATTCCCCTAATATTCCAAAGACAGAAGGGTCCTTAATTGTGTTCTGAGACGCCTTCCTTTTCCTTGCCAGGTCTGGCTGCTTCAGACATGCCCCCCCCCCTCCTTGTTGTGTTCATCTTTAAAAATGGTTATAATAAATCATCATGATAAGAGCAAAATTAAAAGAATGGGAAAGTGATTGGAATAAGAATCGGGGAAACTTGTATGCAGCCCTCTCTCCAGAGTTGCCTTGCAAGTCACTATCCAGTAAAGCAAGGGCTGCCTGGCAATAATTATTCCATGAAAAATAAATATAGCAAATATTTTTGGGTTTTGTGGTGACATGGCCTCTGTCCCAACTACTATGCAACAGCTTTTGTTGCACCAAAGCAACCATGGACGGTATTTACATGAATGGACATGGCTGTGTTTCAATAAAACTTTATGAAAAAACAGGGCTGGGGATGTGGCTCAAGAGGTAGCGAGCTCGCCTAGCATGCGTGAGCTACTGGGTTTGATTCTCAGCACTGCATAAAAATGCAATAATGATATTGTGTTCACTAAAAATATTAAATACTTTTAAAAAATATTTATGAAAAACAGCAGTGGACTGTACTTGGCTGGCTCACTGGTTTGCCCACCTTGGTCTAAATGATCAGTAAAAAATGCTGCCCTACTTTTCCAATATGAGAAATTATATATTATAGTGAAAGAGCTTTGAAAAAATACAAAGAGGGGATTTTTGCTTCTGGTTAGGTTTGGGCAGTTTGAGACAAAAATAATGATCTCCCCACACAAAAGTCCATATCAATTTTTAAAAATCATGTTTAAAGTCATCTGAGAAATGTTGAAACTATCATGAATGTTTAAGGTTCCAGAAAGGGGAAAACTGAGGAGAGGGGAGCTGATGACCTGTAGCTGACTTTCTCTCTGGGTTGGGGTGGGTGCGGTGTTATTCTGGAAGCTGGCTTTGTCTGGACAGAGCATTGCTTCTGAGAAAAAGAAACTAATGAAGTTTTTGGTAGTCTCATGAGAGCAGACTGGAAAGAGAATTGGAGCATTCAGAAGTCTCAGACATTTGGTTGGTTTTCCCCTCAAGACGGGTGGTAAATTCTGAAACTGCGTGGGACAGGAGGTTCAAAATCTAAGCACAGAGCAGGAGTGTTCAGCAGTCTGGAGGTGCTGAGATGATCAGGATTAGAATTCAGGATCTGGTTAGGAGGTCAGGGGGGTGGGGCATGGCGAACACATCATGCAGCTGAAAGTCCTAGGGGACCCAAGTCCTAGCAACATGGCAAACCAGGAGTGGGAGTTTGACAGTCCTTGACTGGCTTAGGTGATTAGCCCTGACATCCTCCCAACTCCATCTGCCTGGAAGAAGAGGTGAGCTATTTTTTGAGCAAGATAACATCACCAGAAATCTCTGAAGTTTTTTATTCATGATATCTAATCAATCAAAAATTACTAAATTATTATGAAAAACAGCAGTGGACTGTACTTGGCTGGCTCACTGGTTTGCCCACCTTGGTCTAAATTGCTTGCTTCATTTTCCTTCCCCCACCTCCCTTATTCGGTTTAATACAAGCACATGGCAATTTGCTTCTTTTTAATAAAATTGTACAATCTGATGAGTGGTACAATTTAGCACCCAATGTCAATTATGGCTGGGATTATGGTTCAGCAGTAGAGTGCTCGCCTAGCATGTGCAAGGCACTGGATTTGATCCTCAGCACCACATAAAATAAATAAAATACGTGTGTATTGTCCAACTATGACTTTTAAAAAATATTTTTAAAAACATTACTAGGTATGCTAGTATGACCCATCCAAAAGAAGAAAACGAACAGAAACAGACTCATAGGTACCCAGAATGAATTGTATTTAGTAAATAAGGATTTTAAAAATAATTATGATTAATGTGTTTTAAGAAGTTTTTTAAAATAGATGAAAAGATGGAAAATTTCAAAAGGAGTGGGAATGTATAAAGAAGAAATAACATCTTCTTATGGGGGAAGATATCTGAAGTTAAGAACCCTATGCATGGAGTTTTTTTTTAAATATATATTTTTTCAGTTGTTGATGGGCCTTTATTGTATTTGCTTATTTATATGTGGTACTAGGAATCAAACCCAGTGCCTCACACATATGAGGCAACAACTTCAACCCTGAATGGAGGTTTAATAGAAGATCATGTGTAGCAGAAGATGACAGTCTGTGCTGGGAGAAGAGTTAATGGAGATCATTCAAATTGAAGTGCAGAAGGGGATAAAAGAGAACACTTAGAATAGATTATAAGGGATAGGCCAGTCACAGTAGTCTTAAGATACATATAATTGGATTATCGGGAGAAAAGGGGGGATTTGAAGCAGTATTTGAAGAGATAATGGCTAAGAATTTCCCCAAATCTTGAGATATCCACAGACTTAAGAAGTTGTATAAGCTCCAAGCATATGAAATATAAAGAAAAAACTGAGGGTTGAACAGATAAAAGTGCTATTTGAAAGCAAGCAATGCATTGATTGGCATTTTAGGTTTCTGTAGTTGGTGGATAAGACCATTTCGGGGTGAACCTCCAGCCTCATGCTTAGTATGTTAACTTCCCTGAACCCTCTCCTCCAACCATACCTGTTTGCTCACTGTCGCTTGGATGGTCCTGCTACTTTGTTTTTGTCAAGCTCATCTGATAACACTTGGTGTTTCCATTCCCAGGCACCTTACCTGTGGCCTTATTGTCATTATTACCATCATCTACATAACTTAATGGTTGAACAAGGTCTGGGTCCAGTAAGGTGGGGTGTGTTTCCTAGGGCTGCTGAAACACATCACCATAAGCAGGGTTTTTAAAGCAATGGAAATGTTCTGGGTTCTGGAGCCTGGAAGTCAGGGTGTTACAGGGCCACATACCATTTGGAGGGTCTGGAGAGTAAAACCTTTCTTTGCTTTTTCCAGCTTCTGATGCTGTCAATATTCCTTGGCTTGTAGCTGATTCTCTGTCTTCACATTGCCTCCATCCTGTGTGTCTGCTCTAAACTCCTTCTGCTTATCTGTTGTAAAGATACATGTGATTAATTTGCTTTTGGGGCCCCT